AGTAGAGACGGGGTTTCACCATGTTGACCAGGATGGTCTCGATCTCTTGACCTCGTGATCCACCCGCCTCGGCCTCCCAAAGTGCTGGGATTACAGGCTTGAGCCACTGCACCCGGCCAGATGATTGTTTTTTACTTTTTTTTTTGATTACCAACTGCTGCCAGTGCTCTTTTACTTGTTTTGATGACTTAGCCCTTACCTGTATTAAAAGCCTAAACATAGAATGATACTCAGGCAATATTGGTAAAAAAATAACAAATTAACCTGAATTGGATTTTCCTGGATATGAACATTGGAAATATTTCATTTTTCAACATAAATAATAAATCCCCTATCTTGACTTTTGCCAACATTTCTGCATCTGAGTCACTGTTCCCATCTTTTACTTGTTAAAATCCCAGTAATGAGAATCAAGGCTGCCCGAGTATCTGCAGAATCCAGGAGTGTGCCAAAGGATCCAAGAGTAGATCCACAATTTCCCATTCTGAGAAGAATCTGAGCTTTTATTTCAATTAATTTAAATTGGCATACAATCCAGCTTCTGTATCACGTTGCTTTTACATTTGGTAATAAAAATTTTAGGCCAGGCCAATAAGGCAGGAGCAATTTACTGTAGAAATGTCACTTTTATAAAATCTGAATACAAACTAGACTTCTTTTTCTCTCATTGCTTCATCATGTTAAGGAAGTATAGAGCTTTTTGTTCATTTAAAGCACACACAGAGACACATGCACCACACACACAGTGTAGAACACACAGAAAAGCATCCCAGAAGTCCTTGCAGAAATACGGAGATGCTTGCATCCTACTGCAGTGGGATTTTAGAAACGAGAGGTGTCCATCATGCCGTAATGTACCATAGACTGTTTCTATGGATTTCTCTTTGTATATGTATTTTAGGGTATTTAAGGTTTAGCAAACACCCTGCACTTCAATTTTTTCTCTCATATTCATGCCCAAGTCTAAATCTATTGGGTCTGAGAAAATGAGCAGATTCTTATGTACGTGGTTGAGGAGCTCAGTGGGTCTGGTCATCCAAGGTTTGCTTCAGACTCCAAAGAGACCCTATCCTTCCTTGTCTCATTGACAGGGTCTCTAGGATACAGGGATTTGCAGCCACCCTCACCTGAGGTCCTACCTGAGACACTCCCCTGCAGATGGCCACCCACATCTGTCCAGCCAGTACATGCTGGGCTATCAGTGTGAGGCAGGGTTATCACCCACTCTAAACAGTGTGACTTCACAGCCACAGCGCTGTGTTCCTCTCTGGTGGGATAACACTCATATCCTGTCTTCTTCCCTGAGACTGAACATAAGGAAGCACCCACCTGGCTCCTCTTGGCTCCAGAGCTCTGTGCAGGGAAGCGTCAGTCAGGATGAGCAGGGACACCGGAGTCCCTAGTTATAGGGACAGGGCTCCTGGGGCTGATCTCTCCACAGAGATGCCATTATCATATCATCTGTAGGGTCCATGACATTGTCAGTAGGGAGAGTCTGGAGAATATTTAGTGAGGAGCAAAATGTATCCCCAGTGAAAATCCCCCTCAGCCCCTCTGGTGATGAATGACAACTCTCGGCAATTAGTGAGAGGATGGTAAAAAGCAGCTGAAGCAGAAGCACAAAGTTTTCTGTGCTCCCTGTAGGAGAGTTTAAGTTCAGAATCAATGTCATCAGAGTGGAAGGGACACTCAGCAATGGGTCTGGGCTCCCCTTTTTTATTTAAAATTTGGCATTTTCTTCAATGCGTTTGTTTTTTTTTTTTTTTTTTTTTTTTTTGAGAGAGAGTGTCTCTCTCCATCACCCAGGCTGGAGTGCAGTGGTGCCATCTCGGCTCCCTGAAACCTCCGCCTTCCAGGTTCAAGCAATTCCCTTGCCTCAGCTTCCCAAGTAGCTGGGATTACAAGCACCCACCATCATGCCTGGCTAATTTTTGTATTTTTAACAGAGACAGGGTTTCACCATGTTGGCCAGGCTGGTCTCCAACTCCTGACCGGTGATCCACCCACCTCAGCCTCTCAAAGTGTTGGGATTACGGGCATGAGCCACCGTGCGCAGCCCTTTCACTTTTCTAAAATCACGCTGGCACTTGAAGCCTGCTGATACAGAGCATCTGTGTAGGATCCAGAGTCTGGTCTTCCCCATGACTTTAAGTCCCACAGCTCTGGTTGTTTATTGCCGCAGGTCTGAGTAGTCTGGAAGACATCCCATTTGAAGCTTTTCTGTGTCATCTCAGACCTCATGTTTCCCTAATATCTACAGGACTCTGCTGGAGACTAATTTTTTTCCATGTTTCCATACAGCCCTGCTTCCTTGTCTGTCTTTGGCCCACCAGGCTCTCCCCCTTTATTCCTGAATGCAAACAGCATTCCTGGTCACATGGGCTGGTATTAGGTGAAGGAAACATAGGAGGAGGATTATGCCAGCATTCTTTAACATTGTGGGAAAAAGCCAAAAGCAAATAGAAAATTTGACAAAAACGTTGATAATTACTTAAACATATGGAAGTAAAAGTAAAGCAAAATGCGAACGCTCTCCACTGAAGACTAGAAAATTCAGCCTCCCAAGTATCCAAAGAATCTGTGTGCCATGGGAGCCAAGAGTAGGTCCACAACAATTTCTCATTCTCAGGAGAATCTGAGATTATATTTTAATCTAATGAAAACTGATACATAATCCACCTTATCACCTTTTACACTCTAATAAAAATTTTAGGCTGGGCGCTGTGGCTCACACCTGTAATCCCAGCACTTTGGGAGGCCAAGGCTGGTGGATTACCTGAGGTCGGGAGTTTGAGACCAGCCTGACCAACATAGTGAAACCCCATTTCTACTAAAAATATAAAAAAATTAACTGGGTATAGTGGTGGGTGCCTGTAATCCCAGCTACTTAGGAGGCCAAGGCAGAGGTTGCAGTGAGCTGAGATCCTGCCATTGCACTCCAGCCTAGGGGACAGAGTGAGACTTCGTCTCAAAATAAATACATATATTTATGTTAGACCAAGCCAATAAGGCATGAGCAATTTACCGTAGAGAACTAGGGAATGTTTACTCATGTCAGTCAGTGAGGTGTTTAATATTGTCTTTTAAAATATATATAAACTGTAGATAGATTTGAATAACATTGAATTTTTAGAAAAAATCTGTTGGAGTGTCATATACGAAAGGATAAGGCAAGATTTGAAAATGCTTTTTAATTGGACAAGAAAACTGATCAAATCTAAATGTGGACAAACTAGAAAATTTGGGTGCTTGCAATACAATCTATAGACACATTCTAGCATCACTTCTACGTCAGAAGTATCAGGATTGTAGTGCCTGCAAATCCATGGTCCTACACACCAGGACATCCTCTAAGAAAATAAAGCCGTGCTTTCAAGAGCATTTAGCACTAGTTTAACATACTTGTTTTTCTAAGTGTTACAAAGTAGGATGGGATTTCTAAAGATAAGGGAATATAGGACCTAGGCCAAGACAATCAACACATACCTATTGAATCACACTCCATAATCATATTGCTAGAACACTGTCAGGGAGTAGCCCTGACATCACAGCCCTGCTGCCGTGACATGCAGTTACAGGATAGAGGTGCCAGGAGGAGAAGTGCCCATTATGATCAAAGAAAGCCTTTGTGAGAAGACTACTTCAGGGTGTTCCCCATTAGGGGATGACACCCCTGATCCTGTATTCCTCCTCAATCCAAGGTTCATGTGAAATGCTCAGGTGGGGACATTTTTCTTCCAGAGCCATCAGCATCTTCTGAGATTCTTTATCAAAGGCAGATTTCTGTAGCCTGGGAAAATAGAAATAATTTTTTGTTTTTTCATTTTTACACAGTATTGCCTCTTTACATTCTGATGTCTACCTCTTCTCTCCTCTCTATTCTTTCCTAGAAATCACTGAGGATTGTAGTGAATTTGAAAAAACAAGCATGAATCTTTCCTATAGAATAGGAAGCCTCTGATTTATACTATAAACTGAAATTTCATATACAGCATGTATTAAGATTTAATTCAAAAAAGATGAATTTAGGTTAAAAAAAGAACAACTTCCATTCATTTGATGTTCATATGACCCCGCCCATTTATTGCTTCTTAAAATGTGGCTTAAACATAAGCTTTTCTCAGAGATACTAGTATAATGAATTCACGTACCCATCACCAGCTTCTACAATTATCAATATTCAGCCTCTTCCATTTACAACCCGCCCATTTTTGAGACGTAATTAAAGCAAACGCTACACGTATAGAATATTTAAAATGTCCCTTTCTATTTTTGGTATTTTCAGTTTCTTTCATGTCATTGTCTCCTGAACCCACTTCAATAAAGCTGGTTTTTTTAGTCACTAATAACATCAATTTTTAAAATAAATTATATCTCACTTAACCAGTTAGCATTGAAAACAATTAATGACACGTCTATTTTTCCCCTTAGTTTACTGGACACTGCTTTCTCCTGGCTTCCCTCCCCCCCCACCAGCTATCCTTCTTGCCTTATGCATTGAATCTTTAGCTCCTTATAACTTCTACATATTATCAGCATCAGGAAAATATAAAATACCAGTTCACAAATAACTGTCAAGATTGGAACACAGGCTTTCCTGAAAGAAAGAATATGACTAACATTTGCAATTTTCTTCTCCCCTCTCCCCATGTCCTTTCCTCTTGTCTGGTGTTCATAGTTATGTGCATTTTTATGTCCAGTTATAAAAAGTTGAGGAGGATTCGCAGGTCAGAAAAATTCATAGACGCTTAGACACAAGAGAAGGAGTTTATTACCTTAAATCTTCAGAAGTAGAGAAGATGGCTAAATTTCCTTTCAGTTACAGTGACACTGTGACAAAGTTATCCAGAACCAACTGCTCTGAATGTTTGCTACTGTGGAAATGGCGTGTTTTGGGTGTGGGGATGGTAGTTGAAGGCGAGTGAGGCACGGTAACAGTTATTTTATAATGCAGGTCCTCAGTACCTGGCCTGTCCCTATGGGTACTGGGTCTCAGCCTCATCGCTGAATTCCTCTCTCCCTCCCTCTGCTGTAGAGCTCCCGGGACTCCCTTCCAGCCCCATCCCAGGGCCTGTGTGTTTTGCTGTAACCTCCTGGGGTCCTCCGTAGAAATTCTTGATACAGTTTAGATCCATGTCCCCCACAAATCTCCTATTCATTTATAATTCCCAGTGTTGGATGTGGGATCTGGTGGGAGGTGACTGGATCATGGGGTGGAGCCTTCATGAATGTTTCACACCATCCCGTTGGTACTGTTCTCATGATCCAGCTCTCGTGAGATCCGGTTGTTTAGATGTGTGTGGCATCCTCCTGACTTTCCTCCTGCTCCAGCCACCAAAGAGGTGTCTGTGTCTCCTTTGCTTTCCATCATAATTCAAAGTTTGCTGAGGCCACCTCAGAGGCAGAAGCCGCTGTGCTTCCTGTACAGCCTGCAGACCCGTGAGCCAATCAAACCTCTTTCCTGGCCGGGCACGGTCGCTCACACCCGTAATCCCAGCACGTGGGGAGGCCGAGGCGGGTGGGTCATGAGGTCAGGAGTTCGAGACCAGGCTCACCAACATGGTGAAACCCCGTCTCCACTAAAAATACAAAGATTAGCTGGGTGTGGTGGCGCATACCTATAATCCCAGCTATTCATGAGGCTGGGGCAAAAGAATCGCTTGAACCCCAGAAGTGGAGGTTGCAGTGAGCCAAGATCGCGCCACTGCATTCCACCCTGGGCAACAGAGTGAGACTCTGTCTGTCTCCCAAAAAACAAACAAAAAAAAACCTCTTTTAAGTTACCAGTCTCTGCCAGGTGTGGTGGCTCACGCATGTAATCTCAGCACTTTTGGAGGCCGAGGCAGGTGGATCACCCGAGGTCAGGAGTTTGAGATCAGCGGGGCCAACATGGTGAAACCCAGTCTCTACTAAAAATACAAAACTTAGCCGGGCATGGTGGTAAGCGCCTGTTATCCCAACTTCTCGGGACACTGAAGCACGAGAATTGCTTGAGGCTGGGAGACAGAGGTTGCAGTGAGTAGAGATCGCACCACTGCACTCCAGCCTGGGCAACAAAGCAAGACTCTCTCAAAAGAAAAATTACCAGTCTCAGATATTCTTCATAGTAATTCAAGAACAGACAAATACAGTTCAGCTGACCTCTTTGAACTCTGCTGGGAACTTTCCTCAGAGCCCACCCTGGGAGTATTTCTGGTCAAGTACACTATCAAGAGCTGTGTATCTGTAGCCTTCATCGCTCCTTTCAAGGTCCATCTAAATAACCCCTCAAGCTGCAGAACTCCACCCCTGAGCATCAGTGTCCTCACCCAAAAGGCAGCGTTAACATGAGTGCCCTCATAGACTACTGTGAGTTAATGTACTTAAGGAACTCAGAACTGTCCCTGGCCCTCTAGAATCTGTCCATCTGCCCTGCCAGCCACCCCAGGCCCCTTCTGCCTCTTCATCAGCCAGTCCTGCCCTGGTCAGGTAGCCTGCCTCACACTGCTCAGTAACCCCCAAACCTAGCTCTTCTCAGCATCTCACTTATTACCTCTTACACACCAATCCTCCCAACCCCGCATCAAGGGCACAAGGACAGAGACGTGAAGGGTTTTGTTCGTGACCGCATCCCCAGCATATCATCCTAGCAAGCACTCAAATATGCATTCTACAGGCTGGGCTCCATGGCTCACACCTGCAATCCCAGCACTTCAGGAGGCCCAGGCGAGTGGATCGCTTGAGCACAGGGGTTCGAGACCAGCCTGGGCAATATGGTGAAACACCATCTCTACCAAAAATACAAAAATTAGCCAGCCTTATAACCCAGTCTCAAAATAAATAAATAGAGATTAAGATTTGCTTCCAAAAAGATGAGTTTAGGTTTTAAAAAAAAAAAAAAAAAGACAATTTGTATTCATTTGATGTTCATATGCCCCAGGCACATTCATTGCTTATTTAAAAATTTATATAAAAACAAACATATTGTGAGCTTTTTTCAGAGACATTAATATAATGAATTCATGTACCCATCACAAACTTCAACAATTATCAATGTTCAGCCTCTTCCATATACCCCACCCATTTTTAATAAAAAAACTTTTAAAAATGAAAAAAACAAAATCAGAAGGAAAAATAAAAAATTCATCCCACAGATTTAAAACAAGTCCACTCTAAATGCAGACCTAATTTTCCAAACAACGTTAACTGCTGCCATTTAGCGAATGTCTTTCTGGATCGAGACCCTGCTCAGCCCATTCCAGAAGCCCTCCCTAGTCTGAGCTGGGATTGCATATATACGGCAACGTAAGTAGATGACATTTCAGGAGAGCAGTGGTTCTCACCTGGGGCAACTGTGTCTCCAGGGGGCTTTTGACAATTACTGGAGCTCTTTTTGGTTGTCATCACTCAGGGAGGTGCTACTGGCACCTCATGAGAAAGGCCAAGAACGCTGCTTGACATCTTACAATGTGCAGGGGGGCCCAGGGCAGGCCCCACAACAAAGAACCCTCCAGCCTGGTGTCCATCATGTCGTGGTTGGGCAAACAGCCAATGAACTTAGCTCATTCTGAAGTCACTCACCACCAAGGGAAACAGCGTCCACTCACCCCAGCATCTGCAGGGCGCAGTCCGGGTGGCTCAAAGCCCCACACAGCAACACCACGCCCTCAGGGTCCAAGGTAATCCAGTCAAGGTTCAGGCTCCTCAGTGTTTTGCTGGCTACCAGTGCCTCGGCGAGGTCTTCACAGCAGGCGTGGGTGATCCGACATGTTTGCAGCCTGCAAAAGGGAAACCGGAGAAACCACCTTGGCTTTGGGCAGGCTGGAAGGCAGCCACTGCTTGCTGCTGTTGTTGCTCTTTTAAGACAGCTTCACCAGGCCGGAGTGCAGTGGGGTGATCTCGGCTCACCGCAACCTCCACTCCAGGGTTCAAGTGATTCTCCTGCCTCAGCTTCCCAAGTAGCTGGGATTACAGGCATGCACCACCACACCTGGCTCATTTTTTTTATTTTTAGTAGAGATCGGGTTTCACCATGTTGGCCAGGCTGATCTCAAACTCCTGACCTCAGGTAATCTGCCTGCCTCGGCCTCTCAAAGTGCTGGGATTACAGGCGTAAGCCACTGTACCCAGCCAGGCACACCATTGTTACCTGTCGGTGACATAACTCCAGGCAGGGGACTTTACAGTCTAAAAGAGCGGTTCTCAGCCAGGGCGATTGTGCTCCTGGGGGATGTGTGTCTAGTGACATTTATCCCAACTGAAGAGTGCTGCTGGCAACTTGAGGATAGTGGCCAGGGCCACAGCTCACATCCTGTGATGCATAGGGTGGCCCCCAAGGCAAGTAACTCTCCAGTCCCAAACAGCAAGAGTACCAAGACTGGGCAAACCCTGGGACAGCATTTCATGCAACAGATCATCCCAGACAGACTCGCTTTTAAACCTGCCCTCTTCCATTCTGTCAGCCCTCCAGCTTTTCCTATTCTAGAAATAGGTAAATTTTCCTACGATGATGGTCAGTAGATACTCACCCAAGACACTCTAATTTACAGTTAGGATGCTTCAAAGCTTCACATAACTGTTTGACACCAGCATCTCCTATTTCATTATGCCCAAGTTTCAGGATCTTCAGTTTTTCATTGCAGATGAGAACATCAGCAATGTCCTTACAGGAATCGGAAGTAAGGAAACAAGCCATCAACCTGTGGGGGGAAAATACACACACACATACACATACACACACACTTATGAGGTCGATCATCATGGCCTAGCTAATTTTCATTTATTCTTATGAAGCAAGAAATACCCATGTACTTCTGAGATGTTGAAGAGGGTGGGGAGGGGAGGGAGAAGAACAAGGGAGAAAAGGAGAGATGGGAGGGGAAAGAAGGGAGGCATAAGGGGGGAAAGGGGATGGTAGCGGGGTGCAGGAGGGGAAGAGAGGATGGAAGAGGTAAGGGAGGATGGGAGAAGGGGAAAGGAGGGGAGAGAACAGAAGAGGAGGGGAGAGGAGGGGGGAGAGAAGAGGAGGGGAAGAAAAGGGGACAGAGGGGGAGGGGAGAGATGGGGAGAGATGGGGTGGGGAGACGGGAAGAGGAGGAGGGGACAGGGAAGGAAGGAGGAGGAGGGAGGAATCCACCCAGAATTGTCTTCAGTTCCTAGCAGAAGGAATGAATGATTCTCATGCTCTGTCATTTATCAAGAGTGCATAAAGAGCCAGGCATTCAGCATAATCCTTCAAGCATGTGATTCCCACTGGCCACCTCAGTTCTTTGAGGAGACTGTAGCTATCCTCACATTAGCTGGGGAAAGGGTAGTTGCCCGGTCAGGGGCACTCAGGACTCCATCCAGTCCTTTCTAGGGCCAGAGACACAACCCCTGAGTCCTGTGCTGCGTCCTTACAACCCCTTTCCAGGAATGCTCCCAGAAGCAGGTGGGGTAAATAGAGAGTGAAGACACCGTTCTGATCCTGTCTCAGTCTATGTGGTCTGTTATAACAAAACACCATAGACTGAAACGGGTCCCTTAGAGATGACAGAAATGTACTTCTCACAGTTCTGGAGCTGGGAAGTCCAAGATCAAGATGTCAACAAACTCTCTTTGGTGAGGGCCACGTTCTGATTAGCAGGTGGCATTTTCTTTTCTTTTTTTTTAAAAAAAGATGGGGTTTCACCATGTTGGTCAGGCTGGTCTTGAACTCCTGACCTCAGGTGATCCGCCCGCCTTGGCCTCCAAAGTGCTTGAATTACAGGCATAAGCCACCACACCCAGCCACAGGTGGCATTTTCTTACTGTGTCCACAGATGGTGGAGGGGCAAAGTCTCTGGGCCCTCTTTTTTAATTTTTTTGAGACAGAGTCTCGCTCTGTGACTCAAGCTGGAGTGCAGTGGCACAATCTCAGCTCACTGCAACCTCTGCCTCCCAGGTTCAAGCAATTCTTCTGCCTCAGCCTCCCGAGTAGCTACAGGCACGTAGCTACTCGGGACTACAACTAGTTTGTAGCTACAAGTATGGGACTACAGGCACACACGACTACGCCCAACAATTTAATTTTTTTAGTAGACACGGGGTTCCACCATGTTGGCCAGGATGGTCTCCATCTCCTGACCTTGGGACCGCCCACCTGGGCCTCCGAAAGTGCTGGGATTACAGGCATGAGCCACCGTACCGGGCCTGGGGCCTCTTTTATAGGAGTGGGACGCTCCACCCTTATGACCTAACCACCTCCCAAAGGCCCCACTTCCTAGTACCATCAGCTTGGCGGTGAGGATCCAACATCCGAATTTTGGAAAGGCATACCCCTTCAGATGCTAGCATATCCCTTTCCTGTTTCTTTCCCAGAGTGCCAACATCCAGAAAAGGAACCCTGACAGTAAAGCGAATCACGGCCGGTCCTACCACAGCTCCCGTATGCTACAGTCTGGGTGCTTCAGCGCTTCGCACAGCAAGGCCACCGCACTGTCTTCCAGATGATTGGACCCCAGATCGAGGAGGGACAGGGATTTACTGCGCACAAGCCCTTCGGAAATGACCTCACAGGAGACACAGGTGAGACAGCAGTACATCAACCTGCAAAGAAACACACCGTCGACCAGCCCACGGAGGCTTCCCGCAGTGACATTAACATGCTGTCTCAGCCACAGGCAAAACCTTTCCAGGTAGTCCTTCAATTCTGCTGTCACTCAAGAAAACAAGGAGCAGGGCACAGGGGCTCATGCCTGTAATCCCAGCACTTTGGGAGGCCCAGGTGGGCAAATCACAAGGTCAGGAGATCGAGACTATCCTGGCCAACATGTTAAAACCCCATCTCTACTAAAAATGCAAAAATTGGCCGGCACGTGGTAGTGGATACCTATCATCCCAGCTACTTGGGAGGCTGATGCAGAATCGCTTGACCCCAGGAGGTAGAGGTTGCAGTGAGCCGAGATCACGCCACTGCACTCCAGCCTGGGCAACAAGAGCGAAACTCCATTTCAAAAAATAATAAAATAAGGAGCTGGGTGCAGTGGCCCATGCCGGTAATCCCAGCCCTTTGGGAGGCCGAGGCAGGCTTCCTTTCACAGTCTAAACAACTGTCTCAGTGACAGTTGATTCTAGCC